GAGGATGGGGTTCTTCTCCATGCTGCCAGGCTGTGGTCTGGGAACTGAAATTGACCTGTGGTCTGATTGTCCACCCGCTCGCCTCCCATAGCTCTCTGTTGATTATTGTTTTTGTAATTTATTTTAATTTTGTCTCTGCGGCAAGGTCACGCCTGTTGCTGCAGGTTGCTCCGGTGTCTGCGCCGTGCAGTGGCTCCGATGCACGCCTAGGCTTCCTGCCAATGTAAGCTTTCAACATGACTCCCTGGGGTTCTCAGTAGTTGTAGTCTCCATTCTCAGCTGGAATTGTGCCCAAGTACTGTGTGGGATCTAGAGTTTGTGTGGACTCCCCCTAAGCCTGACTGGGCTATGTAGTTAAGTAGAAGAAAAAAGGGTTATATTTTTTCTCAGGCCTTGCTCCTGTAGCCGTTATCATGAGCATTTGGAGATCTGGAAGAGCCGAGGAGCGGATAGATATACAAAGGTGAGTATGTTGGAGACCCCCCTGTTCAACAATGAGGTAGAAACCCAGTCTCTACTAGAAATACAAAAAATTACGCGGCTGTGGTGGCTCTACTGTAAGTCCAGTACTCTCGTAGTGCTTGAGGATGGGTGAATCGCTTGAACTGTGGAGGCGGTGCGCTTGCAGTGAGGAAGGTGCGCACTGCCACTCAGCCTGCGGATGGGTGGCCTGTATCTCTTCTCTAGACATCAGATAAACACTCATGCACACATATTTACAAGCAGGATGGGGTGGATCTCGTTGCTGCTCGTGGTAGCTATGTATTCTATAGTATACGCGAAAGCAGGAGACAGGTATTTGACTATTTTTTGCTTGTATCCTGTTTTTTTTGGTATGAGTTTCGCGGTCTTGTTGCCCGGGATTGGTGTATGCTTAATGGTCGCGATGGTCTGCGGCTCAATGCCACCTTGCTCTCCAGGTTCAACGCGCATTTCGCTGCTCGCCTCCGAATCCTGGTAGCTGGACGATGGTTGCCTATGGAGGTCTTGTCTCGTTACATTTTGTAGAGGTGTGGGGTGGGTACCATAGATTGCATGCAGAGGCTGGTTTCAGACTAACTGACCATATCCTCGTGGTGATTACCTCGCCTCAGGCCTCCTGAATTGCTGGAGATGTACAGGTCAAACTGATGTCGACAAGTGCTGGGAGAAAGTAAGCCTGTCATTTTTTGGTTGTAGGAGAAAAAAGCCATTGTTCACACTGTTGTTTTAGTTGTGTAAAAATGCCAACATCTCACACGAAGCTTAAAGCTCCCTCCTACGCATATGACCACTCAGAAGCTTGTTGCTATTTTATATGTGTAGATAAAAGGATAAGGCCTGAGGCTTTGGATGGCTTCGTTGGGCTGTTGTCAGCGTTTAGGGAGGTCAAGACCAGAGAAGGATCACTTGAGTCTAGCGCGTATGAGAACCGGCGTGGGAACTGGTGGAAACCCCCCCCTATAAAAACAAATTGGCGTTGTGTATATTTGGTGGACCACTTCCTATACGATTTCTAGAGTTGGAGACTGAGGGTGGGCCAGAGAAGTCGCGTAGGCCTCAGTAGTGTTAGTTGTCGAGATAGCGACTGAAACACTGTCGCTCGAAGATGGAGAATCGTGTGCGAAAGAGAAGAGAAGCTCAGAGCTTCTGAAAACACCGCTCTGTCTCAAAAAAAAAAGCATGAATAGAGACTGTAGCAAGAGATAGGCAAACAACCATAGTATTGTTTCCAAGTGATGAGATTACAAATGACTTTTATCTCTATCTCCATACATTGCTTTGCGTTTTTGTTTTGAGACAGGGTCTTACTCTGTTGCCCAGGCTGGAGTACAATGGCATGACCTCGGCTCACTGCAGCCTCAATTTCTCTGGCTCAGGTCATCCTCCCACCTCAGCCTCCCAAGTAGGTGGTACGACAGGTGCATGCCACCACACCTGGCTAATATTTATTTATTTTTATTTTAATTTTTTGAGACGGAGTCTCGCTCTGTTGCCAGGCTGGAGTGCAGTGGCATAACCTCGGCTCATTGCAACCTCCGCCTCCCAGGTTCAAGCGATTCTTCTGCCTCAGCCTCCTGAATAGCTTGGACTGCAGGCACGCACCACCACACAAAGCTAAATTTTGTATTTTTAGTAGAGATGGGGTTTCACCGTATTGGACAGGCTGATCTCGAACTCCTGACCTTGTGATCCGCCCACCTTGGCCTCCCAAAGTGCTGGGATTACAGGTGTGAGCCAACAAACCTGGCCACCCCCATTTTTTTTTTTTTTGAGACGGAATCCCGCTCTGTTGCCCAGGCTGGAGTGCAGTGGCACAATCTCGGCTCACTGCAATCTCCACCTCCCAGGAGTGATTATCCTGCCTCAGCCTCCCAATTAGCTGGGACTATAGATGCCCGCCACCATGCCCGGCTAAATTTTTTAGTGGAGAAGGGGTTTCACCGTGTTAGCCAGGATGGTCTCGATATCCTGACCTCGTGATCCGCCCGTCTCGGCCTCCCAAAGTGCTGGGATTACAGGCTTGAGCCACCGTGCCCGGCCTTAATTTTTATATTTTCTTTAGAGACTGGGTCTTGCTGTGTTGCCCAGGCTGGTCTCAAACTTCTGAGCTCAGGTGATCCACCTGCCTCAGTCTCCCAAAGTACTGGGATTTTAGGCTGTCTCAATACTTTTCTGTAGTTTCTAGTTTCTACAGTAAATTTCTTATTGAATAACATCAAAACAAATTTTTTTTTCCTTTTTAAACTTTTTATTTATTTTAGAGACAGGGTCTCCCTGTGATACCCAGGCTGGTCTTGAACTCCTGGGTTCAAGTGATTCTCCTGCCTTGGCCTCCTGAGTAGTTGGGACTACATGCGCATACCACCAAGCCTGGTTAATATCAGAAAAATAAGCCGGGCATGGTGGTTCATGCCCGTAATCCCAGCACTTTGGGAAGCTGAGGCGGGCAGATCCTCTGAGGTCAGGAGTTCGATACCAACCTGGCTAAAATGGTGAAACCCATCTCTACTGAAAATACAAAAATTAGCCTGGCATGGTGGTGCACACCTGCAGTCCCAGCTCCTTGGGAGGCTGAAGCAGGAGAATCGCTTGAACCTGGGAGGCAGAGGTTGCGATGAGCCGAGATCGTGCCATTGCACTCCAGCCTGGGCAACAAGTGCGAAACTCCATCTCAACAAAAAGAAAAATAAAGAACAGAGATTGTATGAGGCAAGGCCACACGTGGATAAGGAAACACCAGATCTGCCCAGGAAGACAGTGGGATGGCTTTGATATCTCTAGGCTCACAGTAGATCTCAGTTCATGTCCTGCCTCTGCTATTCATTCATTTACCCACTCATTCATTCAACCATTCAGCAGACAGTTTCTAAGCACCCTCTCCGTTTCAGGCACTGGGTGCAGCCATGGGCGGAAATCCTGCCTGCCTGGAGCCGGCTTTCTAGTAGCGGAGACAGATAATAAACAGATAATTACACACCTAACTCATTATTATTCCATTTTTACAGTGCAGTATGACGCACAGAGAAGACAGACCCGCTTTACTCTTGGCCACGTGTAATGTGGCAGGCTTTTGTCTGAATTCCTGGCTTACCTTAGTGATGTGGCAGGTGGGGCTGCCTGGAGATTCAGGGACAGCTCCTCTCAGGCAGACCCTCAGGCAACCTTAAAAGGATGCAGGAAGCTCAGCGTGGTGGCTCCCGCTGGTAAACCCAGCACTTTGGGAGGCCTAGGCGGGAGGATTGCTTCAGGCCAGCAGTTCAAGACCAGCCTGCACAACATAGTGAGATCCCCACCTCTACAAAATAAAAATTTTTTAAATTAGCTGGGTGTGGTGGGGTGCATCTAGAGCCACAGCTACCCAGGGGGCCAAGGCGGGAGGATTGCTTGAGCCCAGGAGGTTGAGGCTGCAATGAGCCATGTTCACACCACTACGCTCTGGCCTGGGCAATAGAAAGAGACCGTTTCTCTTAAAAAAAAAAAAAAAAGGCAGTGAAAAATGTGCCTTGATGGGTCTCCTGACCATGCCTTTCTGTGCAGCAGAAATTGGGTGGAAGGTGATCTACAGCCACCTGTGGGTACTGCCATGGCCGCTGGGCAGCGGAACTCTTCTTCATGTACCCTCCCACCTACACTCTTGCAGCCACTGCCTTGTGACAGACAGATTCTTAGGATTGTCCAGACCATGGCTGCAGCTGCAGGGTTTCGTTTTGTTGTTTTTGAGACAGGGTCTTGCTCCATCACCCAGGCTGGTGTGCAGTGATGTGATCATGGCTCACTGCAGCCTTGACCTCCTGGGCTGAAACCCTTCTCCTGCCTCAGCCTTCCGAGTAGCTGAGACTGCAGGTGAACACCACCATGCCCATCTATTTTTTATTTATTTTAAATAGTGTCTCACTCTGTCGCCCAGGTTGGAGCGCAGTGGCGTGATCTCAGCTCACTATAACCTCCGCCTCCCAGATTCGAGCAATTCTCCTGCCTCAGCCTCCCGAGTAGCTGGGATTACAGACGCGTGCTACCACGTCCAGCTAATTTTTTGTATTTTTCCTAGAGACAGGGTTTCATCATGTTGGTCAGGCTGGTCTTGAACTCCTGATCTCAAATGATCCACCTGCCTCGGCCTCCCAAAGTGCTGGGATTACAGGCATGAGCCACCTCACCTGGCCGCCTGTCTACTTTTTAAAAAAATTTATTGTAGAGACAGGGCCTTGCTCTGTTGCCCAGGTTGGTCTTGAACTCCTGGCCTCAAGTGATCCTCCCACCGTAGCTTCCCTTAGTGCTAGGATTACAGGCATAAGCCCCTGCGCCTGGCCTGCCACAGATTTTTATCATCGATAGGATCATTGTTCCCATTTTACAGATGAGCAAACTGAGGCTTGGAGCAGCAAAGGTGCACGGCCAAGGTCCCACAGCAGGATAAAGGGCAGAACTAGGCTTAGAAGCCAGGTTTCTGTGATGCCACAGCTGAGACTCTGCCCCTCGGGGGTCTTACACGTGTTCCCACATTAACATTCATCCAGGTTTCGAGTTCTTTGAAGCCAGCGCCAAGGAGAACATCAATGTGAAGCAGGTCTTCGAGCGCCTGGTGGATGTCATCTGCGAAAAGATGAACGAGTCCCTGGAACCCAGCTCCAGCTCAGGCAGCAACGGGAAAGGCCCGGCCGTGGGGGATGCTCCAGCCCCCCAGCCCAGCAGCTGCAGCTGCTAGAGATGTCCCCAAACCCCCTACCCTCCTCTCTCTGGCCTCGGCAGGGACTGTAATTGAGGCATGAGCCACAGTGGTTATCTCCAAGCTCAGGGCAATCCCTTCCCTTCTGTCAACTGCCCCCCGACTCCTGCATGGCTCATTCTTTCACAATGTTGCCGTGGCTGCCAGGTTGCTCAGGCAGCCCCGGTGAGAGGCTACAGACCATGGGGACTCAGCTCTGCATGGCAGGCAGGGGCCCGGGGACATTGACATGCATGAGCTTGCTGCTTTCCAGGGTGTGTTAAGAAGGGTGGCCGTGGGCGACACGTCCCACTCTGTCTGATGGAGGGGCATCCGTGGTGCCTTCTAGCTTAGAACCATTTTCCAGGTCTCTTCTGGGTTGGGCAGGACTGATATTTCCAAGCTGGTGGAAGATGCTTCATCTTCTTCCTCGCACAGTGTGCATTCTTGGACTTCGTCCAGGGAAGGCGGCGCCTCTTTCTCAGGTCCTGCAGGCTGGTCTCTGAGCCTGCCCCCACGAACTTCCTGGATTCCAAGGTGGGATGGTGATTTTGACCCCTGCAGACCCTCTACTTACAAAAAGCAGCATTAAAGCGGCCTTTCCCCATTGTAGAAGGGACAAGGAGTCAGATCCCCTCAACACCCCGGCTTCAGGGACCCCAGAAGTGCCTTCCAAGCTTCCCCCAAGAGCCACATCACCCACAACCCTGCCACTGTTTTTGCTGTGTTCACCGCATCTCTGATCCTGAATTGAATTCTGGAACTATGGACCACATTAGACAGGGCAGAGATTCACCCAACCCCTAGCACTCCGGCTCTGGGCTTTTGGCCAGAAGTTAATTAACCTCAGAGTCAGGAGCCTGGGCCCTCCCTCCTAGGCCCTGTTTAGCTGGTTGTGTTTTAAGCAAGTTCTTGCCCAATCATACATCCTGCTAGAAAAGGAAATGAAGCAACGTTCCCAGCCACCACAGGCAGTTGTCGGCAACTTTCTGATGTACGCACCTGGGCTCCTCCGACTTGAGGGGGGCCCTTCCACACCCAATGCCCATTTCCCAATCCTTGTCATCGGCAGGGCCCAGGGATGTGACAATACTTTTTTTTTTTGAGACAGAGTCTCGCTCTGTTGCCCAGGCTGGAGTGCAGTGGCCAGATCTCAGCTCACTGCAAGCTCCGCCTCCCGGGTTCACGCCATTCTCCTGCCTCAGCCTCCCGAGTAGCTGGGATTACAGGCGCGCGCCACCATGCCCAGCTAATTTTTTGTATTTTTAGTAGAGACGGGGTTTCACCATGTTAGCCAGGATGGTCTCGATCTCCTGACCTCGTGATCTGCCCGTCTCGGCCTCCCAAAGTGCTGGGATTACAGGCTTGAGCCACCGCCCGGCCGACAATTTTTGCTAATGGAGGAGTCGCTTCTTTTTTTTCTTTTTGAGATGGTCTCGCTCTGTCGCCCAGGCTGGAGTGCAGTGGTGCAATCACAGCTCACCACAGCCTCAAACTAGGGGTCACTTCTAAGGGATGCTGGGGGTTGGGCAGAAGGGGTGAGGTGGTAGGATTGAGTAACTTGCTGTCACCGCTTGTACTTTGTAGATAGCCTGAGAGTGGCACGCCCTTATGTGAATGGGGGGGATGGGCTGTGATCAGTGCCGGGGAGTCCCTGAAGCTGGGGTCCCCACCTCTGGGGGCTTCTGCTCAGAGGTTATGTGTGCAGTTTGAAGACTTACATCTTGACCTCCAGTTTAGAGGCACTTTCTGCCCATCAGATTCCAAACTCTAGGGGCGCAGCACCTTTTCTTAGCTCCCAGACACCAACCAACACCCCTTAACAGGACCAGCACTGTTAGGATGGCTAAGCGGATGTTTTATGTTCTCACCTCCCTGACTGTTTCAGAGGCTGTGTCTGCTCTCCCAGCCCCTGCAGCCAAAATGACTTCCTGTAGCTTTCATGAGCTCAGCCTCTTCCCTGGGGTATGTGTGAGGGGAAAAGCCTGGTTCAAGTTTAGATTTATTTCTAGGGAGCCCCAGTTACTTCATACCAGAGGCTACCCTTAGAACTTTGGAGTGAGGGTATCGTTTCTGTTGTTGTTGAGACAGAGTCTCGCTCTATTGCCCAGGCTGGAGTGCTGTGGCACAGTCTCAGCTCACTGCAACCTCCGCCTCCAGGGTTCAAGTGATTCTCCTGCCTCAGCCTCCCGAGTAGCTGGAATTACAGGCACATGCCACCATACCCGGCTAATTTTTGTATTTTTAGTAGAGAAGGGGTTTCACCATGTTGGTAAGGCTGGTCTCAAACTGATTCAAGTGATCCACTTCCTTCGGCCTCCCAAAGCACTGGGATTACAGGCATGAACCATCACGCCCAGCTGAGAGTATCTTTATACCAGCAAATTAGATGACTGAGGTGAAATGGACAAATCCTATAAACACACAAAGTGAGGGTATCTGAGTATGTGGGCGGGAGTCAAAAATTTGTAGTTGCTTTAACACTAAAGTCAAACTAAAGCAGCTTCAAAAAGACTTCTTAAGATGCAGTATGGCCTGCTGAGGTTTTTGTTTGTTTGTTTAAGACGGAGAGTCGCTCTGTCGCCCAGGCCGGAGGGTAGTGGCATGATCTCGGCTCACTGCAACTTCCACCTCCTGGGTTCAAGCGATTCTCCTGTCTCAGCCTCCTGAGTAGCTCGGACTACAGGCACCTGCCACCACGCCCGGCTACGTTTTGCATTTTTAGTAGAGATAGGGTTTCACCTTGTTGGCCAGGCTGGTTTTGTTGGCCAATTGTCTCTGAACTGCTGTCAAAAAAAGGAATGGATGAGATTGTCTTGAATAGGGCGGAGCTAACTTGTAATCGCCTGCCTGACGAGAAACAGCTTTGGCTGCGTCTTACTCCTGACCTGGCCTAAGCTTTCTGTTTACATAAGATTTTTCAAGAGTTCAACTTCAAGTAGCAGCGGAGAGAGCTGCCTCTGGATTCTCTCAAAGACTGGGAATAATATGGGAACATTTATTTCTTCTCAAAATAAGGCAAATGTTACATTGAATGATTTTGGGGGTGAGGTTTAATTGGAAATGGTCTCTGGGGACTGAAAACTGATGTTTTTGCAGATTACCTCGGGGAACGGAGGTTTGTTGAGTTTACAGACACATTAAACCAAAGGCCATGGGAAAACCCCTCTCCAGCTCCAGGGGATTGAAGTCAGGATCACCCACTAACCAGTGCCTTCCTTCTTAACATTCACTTTTAGCAGCTTGTGTTTACATGGGCAGTTTTGATGGGAAAGTGCCATGACCACAGCGGTTTGGAGTTCTGTTTTTTGTTTTTTTTTTTTCTCTCCTTTTTGTGGGGACTGGGGGACTCCTCCCAAGATCACATTTTAGCATCTTTCTTTCCTACTCCATTTAGAAAAAGGGTGAAATGTGGTCTCAGTGTTAACACGGTAATTCCGCTACTGGCTCCTCCCTGACGATTCTGAAATACACTACTGAACGAGCTCTGGCTGGTCCTTTCTATCCTGGATGTGGTTCTTCTGTGTAGCAATTCCTTGATGTCCAGTTTGGAAAGATGTACTCTTTTTCTCCACAAGAAAAAATTAAATCCGTCACGCCCAAAATGTAGTTGTGCTTTTATTTCCATTAGTGAAGTGCATTTCTGGGAAAGGGGGGTTGATTTGCATCTAAGCAGATGTCAGTCAAGCGCCCTTCAAGACACAGCAGAAACCTCACCGGGCCTGGGGCTGCCTCTTGCTGGGTCCCATGGCCACCACCTTGACCTTGGAAAGCTCTGTTATATGGGAGGTAGGGAGGACACTGTTTCCCTCAGCTACTTCTGGTAAAAAGGTCAGTTCTCCCCACAGCAGCAAGAGAGCACCTGTGAACACCTGAGTCAGAGCACAGCCCTCCTCTGCTTAGAACCTTCAATGGCGAGGCCGGGCGCGGTGGCTCAAGCCTGTAATCCCAGCACTTTGGGAGGCCGAGACGGGCGGATCACAAGGTCAGGAGATCGAGACCATCCTGGCTAACACGGTGAAACCCCGTCTCTACTAAAAAATACAAAAAACTAGCCGGGCGATGTGGCGGGCGTCTGTAGTCCCAGCTACTCGGGAGGCTGAGGCAGGAGAATGGCGTAAATCCGGGAGGCGGAGCTTGCAGTGAGCTGAGATCCGGCCACTACACTCCAGTCTGGGCGACAAAGCGAGACTCTGTCTCAACAACAACAACAACAACAACAAAATAAATAAATAAATAACCTTCAATGGCTCCCACCTTACTTGGAGTAAACGCCAAAGTCCTTCCTGTGGCTCCCCAGGGCCCTGCATGATCTGACTCATCACTTCCCCACCCTCCTCCATCTCTCCACTTGCCTCCCCACGCTTGCTCCCCTCCAGCCACATTGGCGTATTTGCTGCTATCTGAACATACCAGACCCCCGCCCCAAGGCCTTTGCACAGGATGCTCCCCCTGCCTCTGCCTGGATGGCCCTTACCCCAGGTAGTCACAGTTGATACGGTTTGGCTTTGTGTCCCCACCCAAATCTCACCTTGAATTGTAATCCCCATAATCCCCATGTTTCAAGGGAGAGACCAGGTGGAGGTCATTGAGTCATGGGGTTGGTTCCCGCATGCTGTTCTCCCGATAGCAAGTGAGTTCTCGCGATATCTGATGGTTTTATAAGGGGTTCTTCCGCCTTCTCTCAGCTCTTCTCCTTCCTGCAACCTTGTGAAGAAGGTATCTGGCTTCCCCTTTGCCTTCCGTTATAATTGTAAGTTTCCTGAGGCCTCCTCAGCCATGCTGAACTGTGAGTTAATTAAACCTCTTTCCTTTTTTTTTTTTGAGACTGAGTCTTGCTCTGCCACCCAGGCTGGAGTGCAGTGGTGCCATCTTGGCTCACTGCAACCTCCACCTCCAGGGTTCAAGCAATTCTCCTGCCTCAGCCTCCCGAGTAGCTGGGATTACAAGCATGCTCCACTATGCCCGGCTAATTTTTGTGTTTTTAGTAGAGACAAGGTGTCACCATGTTGGCCAGGCTGGTCTTGAACTCCTGACCTCGTGATCTGCCCACCTCAGCCTCCCAAAATACTGGGATTACCGGCGTGAGCCGCCATACCCGGCTAAACCTCTTTCCTTTGTAAATTACCCAGTCTCAGGCAGTTTTTTCTAGCAGTAGGAAAACAGATTAATACAAGAAAGCTCTCCTAACCTAACTTCCTCTTTTTTTTTTTTTTTTTTTTGAGACAGAGTCTTGCTCTGTCACCCAGGCTGGAGTGCAGTGGCTGGATCTCAGCTTACTGCAAGCTCTGCCTCCCGGGTTTACGCGATTCTCCTGCCTCAGCCTCCCGAGTAGCTGGGACTACAGGCGCCTGCCACCTCGCCCGGCTAGTTTTTTGTATTTTTTAGTAGAGACAGGGTTTCACCGGCTTAGCCAGGATGGTCTTGATCTCCTGACCTCGTGATCCACCTGCCTCAGCCTCCCAAAGTGCTGGGATTACAGGCTTGAGCCACCATGCCCAGCCTGAGTTGTCCCCTTTATAATAAACCAGGAGTAGTAAGTAAAACACTTTCCTGAGATCCGTAAATCATTCTCGTAAATTATCAAACCTGAAAGGGAGGAGGCTTGTGAGAACCCACCTGCCTTTGTAGCCACGTTGGACTGAAGTATGGGTAACCTGGGAACTTGATACTTGATACATCTGAAGTGAGGGCAGCTCAGTTTTGTGGGACTCAGCCCTTAAATCTACGGGGTCACACACCAACTCTGGGTAATTGATGTCAGAATTGAATTGTAGGACACCCAGCGGGTATCCACAGAGAATTGCAGAATTATTTAGTGTGGAAAACCCCACATATTTGGTATCAGAAATGTGGGTAAAAATGTTTATTTCTGGCCGGGGGCAGTGGCTCAAGCCTGTATTCCCAGCACTTTGGGAGGCTGAGGTGGGACGATCACTTGAGGTCAGGAGTTCGAGACCAGCCTGG